GAAAAATCGAGATTTACCATCCTTGAGAAGTTTTGCCAAAAATAGTGCATTGAAATATGCAAGTAACAACAGGAAGTTACAAATGTCTTAGGGTTAAATTTGTTATGAAGAGAACACTAAATTTTTCAGGAATTTTCTTAGAATTTTTTTTAGGTGTCTGCGAAGGCAGTGGGACAGAGAGCAAGCCTTCCTCTGTGGATAGTAAAACTTGGGCTAGCTTATATAGGCAGATACGGTCTTTCAGATACTATAGACCCAAGCCATATAGGGCTTTTAAAGGTCAAAAGCAGCACTGGACTGTGTCCAGAAATGGAAAAAACCATCAGTAAATACTTTTATCTTGTTTAAATTATTTTATTGTTTTTATCTGGAATTGTTGTCAATAATTTCTGTTGCTTCAACTGCATGTCCTCCTGAGAGCTCGTGATAGGAGGGTGAGATGGGAATATTTAAATAAATAAGAAATAAAAAATAAGACTAATGTGTGGTGTAGTAATCCAAGTGTTGAACTAGAACTCTAAACAGCCCAGGGTTCAATTTCCATCTTGGTCATGGAAACCCACTGGGTGGCCTTGGGCAAGTCACACACTCTCAGCCTCATAGGAAGACCAAGCCAACCCTCCTCTGACCAAATCCTGCTAAGATAGGTTCTCTTTAGGGTCACCATAAGTCAGAAATGACTTGGAGGCTCACACACAACAAAAATAAATAAATAATGGTGGTTGGATGGGGTTTTGCAGGTCTCCTTCTCGATTTCTACTCAATGCCTGAAAGACCATTGCTTTGTTTCTGATATCTAATTGCCAGATTGATCTCAAGTAGCAAAATAAAATGTTCCCTCAGTTTAAGAAAATTTCCCTGCCTTTATGTACAAGAGAGGCACCGAATCCAAGGAGAGGGCAGAGCGATGAGTGAGCGAGAGACAACTCTGAAAGGATATTGCTGGCCAGCAACCATCTCAAATAAAAACTGACTCAGTTAATTGAGATGTGTCTTCGAGTGCTGCTGTTATTGGAAAGGAGCCGGCGGGGTTTTTTTTGGGGGGGAAGGCAAACCTAATTTTCTTTGCAATCCTGCTGATCCCACCACTTCCCAGTTTGCGTCCCCACACTTCAGTGAAACAAGTCAAGCTTGTACTTAACATCAGAGCCAGATTGTTTTGTAGAAGAAGGGAGATGCAGAGACCTACAAAATGGTCCATCTTGATGGACGATGGCTAACTGAACTGGATCTTGGGCAAGGGGCTGGAAAAGGAACAGATCTGAAATAAGCATTGGGTAGCAAAGTGTTTCTTTGACTATAGTTTTTTGTGGGTTTTTCAGGCTGTGTAGCCATGTTCTAGAAGAGTTCCTTTCTGACTTTTCACCAGCATCTGTGGCTGGCATCTTCAGAGAAGTTTCTTTGACTCTTGCTGCAGATGAAATGCATCTAGGAAGAGAACAGCTAGGACGTAGCATCTTAGACCTGGAAGGGACCACAAGGGCCCAAGCAGGAACACACAGTTAACTATAGCTAATGTTGTACAAAGGGCTCTTGATAACCCTAGGGTTGGCCTATTATGGGTTTTTTTTTGTCTGAGTTGGTTCAGAAGGGGTTTGCCCTTGCCTTCTTCTGAGGCTGAGAGAGTGTGACTTGCCCAAGGTGACCCAGTGGGTTTCCATGGCCGAGCAGGGATTTGAACTCTGTTCTCCTAGTATCCTAGTTCAACAGTCAAGCTCCACATAGCTAACTAAAGTCATCCTGAAAAATGCCCATCCGACCTCTGTTTAAAGACCTCCAAAGAAGGAGACTCCACCACCTTCCCTGGTCCATGCCCTATTCTCTGGAGCGGCAGAAAACAAGCTCGCTCCTTCTCAATTTATTTATTTAAGATATTACTATATCCCCTCCCAGCCCACAAGGGCTCTCAAAGGGATGAGCAAATGCAAACAGTTAAAGCAATACAAAGATGAAACATTTTTAAAAGGCATTACCCGACTGTCTAAACATTTTTAAAAGCAGTCGAAATACAACCCTAAAATATAATCGTAAAACGGAGCAATTTCAGACATTAAAAGCCACGTGGAAGAGCATCATTTTGGCTGTCCCATGGGAGCTCAAAAGAGATGGAGCCAGCCTAATTTCCTTAGGCTTTTAAAAGCAGTCAAAATACAGTTGGGAGAAGTCTTGTTATATATGAACCTAACTTTATGAGATGCTAGGACATGCCATAGAGGCAAACTGATTTGAAGAGCTCAGATTTCAGGATGCAGTCTTTCAGGTGCATGACATCCTTTCTATATCTAAAGAAACCTGTCAAGTTCTCCAAGCTACCCAACTCCCCATATCCTCATCCTCACAGCCCATTCCTCTTAAGCCTTGGTTTCCAGACCTCT